TCTTTCTAGACCAGTTAATTCTTCGTTTATTTCACCTGCGAAATTGGAAAAAATTTGTGGTAAATAATTAACTATTATAATATTATAATTTGTTCAATTTGATCGATCAAATTTTTACTTTTTATTTTTTTTTAGATTCTACCACAATCGATTTTTCAATTTCTGATGATTTTTGTAATGATATTTCACGTATGTATTATAATTTTAATTTATTAATTTATAATGATAAAGTGTTAATTTATTTATTTATTAAACATTTGGTCTTTACAGCCATTGACAAAGTTAATAATAAACAATAAATTATCTATAAGTATATTAAACAGTTATTTAAAATCTATACAAGCTGAAACTTAGGCTATTGAAATGATGTAGTTTAATATTAGAATTTGTGATTCTGTTGTTAAAATTGGAGCATTTTTAATTAAGCTTATAGCTAAAGTTTAGAGAACTCGTATATATCTAATATCGTATATAGTTTACTTTATGGTCTTATCAGCTTTTATTTTTATATAAATTTATAATCATTTTAATAATCACAATGTTCCGACTGGACATTTTAGCCCATACGTTGAACTTTTTTGTACAATGAAATGCATACTTTCAAATTATTAGTTCTTTATTAATTTATTACGTTAGTATATTTATCTATATTATACATCATCAAAAATATACCCACCTATTTTCGAAATATGTTAATTATGAATCACCCTATTAATTTCACTTTTGCAAGTTAGTAATTTTTTCAAAATAAATAGCACATAAATTTTATTATGTTAATATTTATTATGTTAATAGCATGTAAATGTTAAATTTTGTAAATATCAGAGTATTCTAAAATAAATTTTTTTTTTAATATTAAGGGGTTTCAAAATTAAAATCAGAGAAATTTATTTTATTTTCCGATTTATAATTCAACATAGTAAAAATACTATTGAAAAAGTCCTACTTATTTTCGAAATGCGCCTTAATTTTGAACCCCCCATTAATGGAGTTATTCAAGGTTAATGTTCAGTTTTCTGATTTTTAATTAAATTAGTGATGTATTTGTTTTGAAATAACTCATAAATGATCTATAAATCCTATTTATATATATATATATATGAGATAATATATAATCGGAAAAATACATCTATTTCGTTTTCTGATTTCGGAATTTCTAATAGAAATGGGATTTTTTAAATCCTACTTATTTTCGAACTATGTTAATTTTGAATCACCCTAATGTATCGTTTAAATAATCTTGATCTTGATTAATTGTTGCATTTAACAAATTAGGTGAGAAAGATAACTGGATTGGTTATTAGAATTAGGATTAACCGAGTTATCTAAAATGCAAGCGCTCAATGTATTAAAGGTTTTATACGAATTATGTTTATTTCGGAAATTTCATTAGCATTAGAGAAATTTGAAAATTCCAAGCACGTATTGACCTTCATAAATAGCAAATGAGGATAATAAATATTGACTTGTTGATCTGCTTGAATTGGCAAATAAAATTATTTGGACTAGGTGAACTGTTGCTACTAGATGTTATTGATATGTCAAGGCTCAGATATATACTTTGATTGCTATAAAAAATTCGGCCAAATAAGTAAATAAAGCAAACTCAATAATTGGTGAATTTCTATTATCATAATTATCAGGAGTAACTTGGAGTTTAGATGTGGTTTTGTTTCAAAAATTGCTGATGATTTATGGATTTATTGGTAGATCTCATGAACTTAGAATTTTTAACTTTACGACAGAATTACCAAATGAAATAATTGTCGCTGCTGATGCTGGAAATGGCTGAAGCTGGAAATTGGGGACCTTGATTTAGAAATACAAACTCTACAAAAATCCGCTTATACTCTTTTATTATTAAAACTACCTCTAAATCCTAACCAACCCTAAAAAAAACCCCCTAACAATATGCCCCAAAATTTTTTGAAATTTCACATTAAAATAATTAAAATTTTCAGCCATCAGCCATTTCCAGCTTCAGCCGTGACAATAATTCACTATCGGCCTTTCGTGCTTTGTGAGGAAAAATTCATTATTATAATCGTCTTCAGGTTCTTGTTTTCATGATCGAGGAGATATTCATTGGCAAGTTACGACCTCTAGCACGAGCAGCTTTCAACAAATAATTTTCGATAGCATTAGGAGTTTTAGGAACATGATCATCGGGATGTAAAATAACTAAATTTTTTGAATTATCGCACTTTTCAATTACTATGATCAAAATTCATTCTTGCGAATAAATAAAAATTCACCAAATTTCTCTTATCAAGTAATATACAAGATCTGGTTGTTTGTGCTGAATAATAAAGGGAATCGCCGGCTTTTTTTTCGTTATTCATCCCCACTGTAAATTAAAAGCTTTAAAAATTTGAGCAGTGAACTTTTTTTTTTTTTATTTGAATTCTATTAATTTGCAAAATTCAAATATAAAAAATGTTTATTAAATTTGACTTGGTGGTTATCGATATATCATTGTTTTAAGTTTTAAAAAGCTCAAAACGTCTGTTAAACAAAAGTTGCGCAAACTTTTCTCAATTTTGAGCAAAGATAACTCAACAATTATCAAGTCAAATTTGATGAACCTTTTTTATTTGGATTCTACGAAATTGTATAAAAAAGTTCATCGAATTTGACTTTGTGGTTATCGAGAAATCTTCACTCAAATCATAATGATATGCCCGATAGATGATATGCTTTATTAAATCAATCTAATCAAAGGTTTAAAAGTCTATCAAAATAAATATTGTGCATTAACCATAGCTGCTACTAGGGCTGTTAAAAGTCCGATCCTGGCGGTCCAGACTCCACAAATAGGGACTTTGATCAGGACTCGGTCCTTGAGTCGGTCCTTGAGCATATGATATCACGTGGTTACTAATACTATATAGCAGATAATGATAATTTACATCTTAAAACTTTATTATACTTTCTATACTTTCTTTACTGCTATCACTAAATTTTACATACATTATAAATCTATTTTTATTCTACATTTACATTTAGGATTCCCGCCTCAGACCAACTCTTCATACATAAAGAGGCTCTTGTTGATTCTTCAAGAAGACTGCTTCTCTCTAAATTTAACGTATATTTGGCCACGGAAAAGGCGCATTCACAGGGAATGCTTGTAGCTTGCATCGCAAAATAGTCAGCTGCCATCAAAGCTATATTTGGTAAGTGTTGGGCTTTTGTTTTTCACCACAACAGTGAATTAGTACTTCGCTCTGGAGGTAGTGAAAGATAAATGGCTAGTTCGTTCTCTGTAATCTCTTTATTTTCACTTGATTTTCCCAGATTTCGAAAGTATTCTAAAGGATCTTGTTTAGGTTTTTCTACCTTACTATTTATGCTGTAAAGGGAGTAAGAGTCTTTCAGACTTTCAATAGCTAATTGGTGTTCTTCTTCAGTAAAGGCTTCGAACTTAGTAGACAGATCAAGGAGAGTTGGAATAGCTGAAGATTTCGAGAGATAAGGTCAGTATTTTGTTAATTTTTTTTTAGTTTCTTGAGCTGCATCATGATATATGCTTATATTTGTTTTTTTAATATAGTAGTCAAGATGAGTTAGAAGTCCTTGAAAAATTATCCGTAATGAACCATGCAAGAGTAATGAGGTTTTAGATAATTCTAGTGTGGCCTTGTAAAAAGGTTCAAGAAACTGAATTATTTCATTTACTATTATACAATCTTTAGCTTCCAAATAATCTTCTTTTAAAGTAGGATGAAGTATTACAAGATTATTTATAATATCTTGAATTTCAATGAACTGTTTCATCATAAGATAAGTAGAGTTCCACCTTGTCTCAACATCAAGTTCAGGATGGAGGAATGGGAAATTAAAAATAGCAAAAATTCTCTTAATCTTATTCAAAAGCAAAGGGGAATTTCTAATCTTATTACAGATACTTCGAACTTTTTTTATCTGTTTGTTATAATGTTTTTGGCCACCTTTGACCGTGAGGTTCAAAATATATGTAGCGCATCATATATATTTGAAATTTGGGCTAATATGATTTTGGAGATAATTTAAGCACGTTTGATTATTAGAAGCATTATCTCCAGTAAAGCCCTGTTGTAGTAATAGATTAATATTAAAATATCAATATATATTAAAGTGTTTATATATAATATTTACTATAACTTTATCTTTTATCTCTAGATCTTCTATGAGCTCAAGTACTTTTTCGCCGAGATACATACCAGTATGAGAGTCTTTAAGGGTATAAAATCGAGAAGAAGGGTTTTCATTACCCACTCTGTATCAACCCAGTGGGTAGTAATGCCAAGGAATTGTTGTTTATTATATGCTGTCCAAACATCGATAGTAAGTGCTAATTTACTACGATTTGATTTTAATATATTTTTTATTTCTATTCTTATAGATTCAAATTTATTTTTAATAGTTGTAGAGACCATTTGGCAGCATGGAAGTTTGTACCATGGATCGAGATTTGAAACAAATTTAATAAAAGGATTTTTATCAACTATTGAGAAGGCTAGTTGACTCTTAATAATTAATTGATATAGATCGTGATTTAAAGATTTATGCGATCTTTGTCAACTTTATTAGTCGTTGAATATGAAGGATAGGTAACTTTTGCATTTTTTTGCTTAAAATCTTTATAGATGCTTGCATGCTTACTTTTGAAGTGGCGTGATATCGTCGATAGAGATGTACTTGGACCCCAATTACTAGGATCTTTAATGCCAGGAATACTAGAACATATTTCACAAACGCGAGTACCATCATCGAATTCCTTTAGATAGTCATGAACAGGTGCTGTTCTTTTTTTTGATTTTTTTGTATTATTGTTTTTAATAATTTTATTAATAGTATCATTTTCTGAATAACTTTTATAAATATTCTTATCCGGAGGATCAAGAGCTAAAGAGACAGGATCAAGAATTTCTGAAGAAATAGGATTAGGAATTAGAGAAGCAGAATTGAGAGATAAAAAAGTAGAATCAAGAGGTAAAGAAGCGGAATCGAGACGTAAAGAAGCGGAATCGAGAGGTAAAGAAGTGGAATTGAGGGGTAAAGAAGCACAATCGAGAGATAAAAAAGTGGAATCGAGGGGTAAAGTAGCAGAATCGAGAGGTAAAGAAGTGGGTAAATTAGAGTTAGACATTGGAAAAACTTTATTAGAAACAAATTTGATACTTGTAAATTTTTTTTTAAAAAAAAAATAAAATTGAAGTTGTGAAAGAAATTTGACTTTTTATTTTTGATTTGAGTTATTGTTGCTATTCAATAACAAAACATAGTATTTTAAATATATAAATTAATGTAATCGCGCAATTGTCTTTAGATTAAAAGAGTTTATTAATTAGCTATTTAA